CCCAAAAACGCAGTCTCAGTTTTCATGACCACTTATCCGGGTGACCACATTCGGGCAAAGGAGTCAAGTGTGTCAGACAGTGTCTCGAACGTTGCTGATTCTGTGCCAGTGTTTGAGCCATTGGAGCAGAACGTGCCGAGGAACACTTGCTCAAACCTATTCTTTCGCTGGTCCATCGGAGTAAAACGTGGATGTTTTGCCTTCCCATCAGGATGCATTCGCAAGACGTTGCCAAATCATTGCAGCTTCGGTTTCTCACCATCTGAACAAACACCAAGAGTCTTGCGATTGTACACCAAGGGTCTTGCGGATATCTTAACTCCGGTCGATGTGAAGACATGTTAAGCTGAGCGATAATCAAGAGTAAAAGTTTTTAACTGATATACGAACTTAATACATTACCGCAGCAGCATGTAATTCAAATATAAATTTAATTTTCATCGCGAATACAAGAAATAATTTAAATACATTTATCACTAGGGAACGGCTAGTAGAATTTTCGAAACCTTTCGGTGTACGCGTTCTCAGGAAGCCGCAGTCACGACGCATGCAGGACAATTTAAGAAGACTGAAATATAATGGTCAACGAATCAATAAGTAAACAAATGGAAACGCGCGGGAAACGAAGATGTGTTCGAAAAACATTTCATATGCATCACCGTTTTCCCGCGATGATGTACCGACCGAACCGCGCGACGAAGATCAACAACTGCGTTGTATACACAAAAGTGTTCTTTGCTGAACGGGCAAGCGCCGATGAAAAGCCGGAAGCAGCGTCCTAGAAGAAAACCGCATTATAACCGAAAACAAACCACAATGTCGACCCAAGTTTCACTACTTATATAACTGTCACTTCCGACATAAAACTGCAGTGGGGAGGGGGGGCAGAAAGATGAGCACCACAGCAACAGACGCGATCAACGACTGGCAATGAACAATACTACCGCGAACAAGGTTCGTGCGAGGCAAACGTAAAAATTGGCCAAGAATGAGTACTGCCAACAAACGTACTGGAGTCATGACACAATTACAGCACAGCTATCGCACAAGCAGAGTTCTCAAAAAAAATTCACAGTCGTTCGATCTGCACAACACGGTTTAAAGTACCATTCATTATCACCGTGCCCAGCTAGCGAACACTTCTATTCGGGTCGGATATCCGATCTACGGCGGATATCTAAGCAATTCCTTTACGCCACTCAATTCAAACGATTTTCGTCTTCTAGTTTCATTTCCACGTTGTTGGCCAAATTATTCATGAATAACAATACATACATGGTAAATAGTCACAACACTGAATGCAGCGCGAGTAAACAAAAACAAGTGAGGCGTGAAACGTTAAAATGAGTCATTGAAAAAGCGGACAGGGGGACAATGCTATCGCCCGATCATAAGTGAACGAAATTTCATGATCTGCAGGATTAAGCAATAAAGTAAAAATGAACAAACGATAAACAACAGCGGGCAACAAAACTGACAGTTACAGGTGGGGTTCCATGGTGTATTTGCCGGTTACATGAAGCCTGAATACAACAAAGGTGTTCTACGAATATCGCAAGGCAAACCGTCGATATCACCGGTATCCCAAGCCGTTCTCGAATCGAATGGTCACGAAAATTGGACAACGAAATCAAACGAAAATTGAATTCAACTGCAACAGTACAAAAACAAAAAGTACTGCCAGACGTTTGAAATTCTGAAAACAGACAGGGGCTGTTCAAGCGGTTAAAGTCAAACTCGAACCCAACAAGTTCAGAAATCCAGCCCCGGTCGTAGCATTCATTTTTTCCTCATCAGCACTGAACGAGGCTCTGCTGGCCGGTGTTGTTAATGAAACGCGTACACTGTTAGTGAAATGTCTGTTTCATTTCTATTACGTGTTTCGGTTTCCAAACCATGCATCAACAAAACAACCCGTTTAACCGATCAAAAAATTATACACCCAGAATCAAAATCTTTTTCAAGCAAAAAAACGTTATTACACTGAATATATCGACCAACAGACAATAATTTATGTGAGATAAATAATATGATTTTTCTGACATCAGCCATCTAGCGTTTCACTGATCCTCCATTGTCTTAATGCCAATGAAGCGTCGTCACTCCGAGTCAAACATTTAGGAAGAAACTGTTTAAAAAATTCGCAGTAAATTGTGATCGTGAAACCTGAAGTCCATGTTTGTAGTCGGAGTGCATCTTATATGTTTGCTTTAACGATAAATGGTACCCTGTTGACCGATGAACAACACTGATGACTGTCTCGTTAGGCAAACTCTTTACATGGTACGACAAACAAAACCACGTTTGGCCCTGTCACAGTGTCCACTTACTTTTATTGTCTGCTCTTTGTGGAGAATCGAATTTAACCCAAACAGACCATGGTAATGATAAACATAATCCGTCGTTCCGCCGTTCAGGGGGTAAAAAGAAAATCTGCAACCATTCCAATGTCGTTATTCAAAACACTTTCGCCACTGGGCAAATTTCATGAAGTTCGACTGGCGCTAGGTGATCTCCATTTAAATGACATCAGCCAGGAGTGCCTTATTTTTTTGAAAGGCAGAGTCTACAGCCACGTGGCAAATAAGTAGCGCAGCGAGAATGCTCCCATTCTTCTTCCTAGAGAGTAGTACTACAGCCTCGTAAGAAACAATGGCGAGTGACTCCGACCAGGATTTGAACTCGAGACGGCACCGGTCAGTTGTAGATGCGTCCGACACTCCTCGCACCGAATAACCCGTCTGAAGAAATACACAATAATTTCCTTCCTCAATGAAATTCGTGAATATGACGAAGATCGCTCTCGAGCGGAATCGGACCCGATACCTCCGGAGTTCGAAGCAGAACTCTTATGCAACCTGTGCCACCACGACACACCAAGGGACGACGACATGAATATAGCAGTGCCAATGACGTTATTCAGAAACTGTCTTATGCTGAACAACAATACGTTGTAGTTCATGGATTCGCTGTACGATATAAAATATTCAAATTTAACGCCAAAGATCACTGTATAGCAAACAGCCCAAACAGCTGACCAGGCCGGAACAATTCACCCGTTCAGGTGTGACAAACCGTCACTGACTCATTTGCTTGCCTCTAACAGGGCAGGAATAATCCATGCTGAGATCTGCGAGAAAGCCGTAATTTTTTCTGGCATCGCATAAATCATGTCGATGCAACGCTGTTTTGCCAGGTATCTCGGTTGAGGTGCTGAAAACCCGAAAAACGGCCATATCCGTCCCTATTGCTCAGTTTTCTGACACTTTATCATATAACTTTAGTCCCCATCTTAAATTTAGATAGTAGAGGAATGAAGGGTTACTCATTCTATTTGGGAATTAAAATAAATAAAAAACGCTGGCTCTCAGCCCTTCCTTCGTCCATCTTTTAATGAACAGATAAACCACGAATTTTTTATATGCATTTCAGAATCATCATTTACTCGCTGTCAGCACAATACAGTTGTTGTCTTTGGCGAATGACTGCCTAGAACTAATCCCGAACCGTTGTGTCTGCTCGTGCAGCATGCTGCTTGGTTCCAAGTGCGGCGTGTCTGCTTCCAGAAACCGTCTGGCTGGAAGGCGAATGTTTAAAGACGCCGCGAAAACACTGCAGACAGGAAATTCGGTTGTCACCTGCGACACACAGCCAAACAAGTCACTGCCAAACTACGATGATCATACTTAACCTGCCGGTGGTTCGGGAAAAATTAAGTAAACTCTTTGAACGCATGGTTCGTCCAACTGGTAGCTAAGATTTCACTCAAATCTGTGATTTAAAAAGGTCAAAACAGGAAATAAGAACCCAGGAATTATCTGATTCGTTAGTAAAAGTTCCAAGTGACAAAAGCAGGGGACACTTACACTCCCAATCAGTAATGTATTACCAAGAATCAAAAATCTCGTTGTAAATGAAGCTTCGTTTATATCGCAGCATCTGACAACGACAACGAAAAGGCTAGTTCCAAAAGTATGACTAGAAAAGTCAGATTAGATACATTACCGTAGGCGAACGTGGGTCAATCGTACCAAAACTGGAATTGGCCAAGTGTCATGTTTCATTATGCATACTTTTATCATTATCAGATAGGAGCATTCATGTTTATCAGTAGGCAAGTTGAACCAAACAGCAGAATAACGACCGCGCCTCTTTCTGATGTACCAGTTACGCGAAGGTCGCTGAAAAACGGACCAGGTTATTAACCATATTCAAACGATATAGCTAATAATCTGAATTTGAATAGTGTTGGTTTTCAGATTTCATTCCATTTATATGAACATTAGCAGATGACGGTTATGATCGATTTAATGGCTACAAGGTCGATTAAATTCACTGTGCTAGAAATTTCTCGATTTACTGACAACTATGCGGTGTGGGTGATAAACGGTTAATTTCATCTGTTCACGGTATTTCAAAGCCAAACCACTCGATCAAGCTGTGATAGACAAACAACAGACAAACAGTTGGAGGTGGTGTGGCAGACCAAAGTACAGGGAAACACTTTCATAGTCGAAGTAGCCTGTAGTAAACTAGGAAACGAATGTGTGAAGACATTAAAAGCATTTTGTCCAAGTCATCCCAACTTGACACAGTGATATCTGCAAGGGCTGAAATGCTATCCAGACGTTCTTCGCAAAATTTCGATACATTCCTTTCGGACAGAACCATCCAAATTAACGGAATTTACAAGGAGCCAGAAAATCGCGCTAAGCTTCGATGTGCAGAAGGGCCGTCAGATGCAAGGTTTATTATATTCACACAGCTTTCAAGATCCGAAACAGTATCGTATGATTTGACCCTCTTGGTTAATATGGATCGTGCATCAGGTTTCTAATTTATTAGTTATTTTCTAGTTATTAGTTTATTGTCTTCGCTATGAGTGTTTTTATTCCACTTCTGTCTTTTTTATTTATTTTTGTTGAAAGGCAGAATCCTTAAAAAGAGAGAATTTCTGGTAATACTTAAAAATACGGTCTATCAATGCACAAAGTAAGAATAATATGTTCAATCGGATGATTGTCGTATCTCTTGAACCTTGTTCGAGGTATGAGGTTGGCAACGTTTAAATTTTTTCTTAAACAAGGATCGGTGGGTTTGAGAGCCAGAAGGCAAGATCTTACACCGTGCTACTAGTTACACAGTTGTTGGATGGCAGGCGCGACCAGGCTCATCCAATTCGCTTACAGTTCCCATTCTTTGTCACCAGAGACTTTGTTCAAGTACCGGATGATTAATGCCTTCTCGACACGTCTGCCTATGCGGCCAGTGTGGCTGGCGGAGAGCTTAGTTCACGCCAGACATAACGTTACTGAACATCTTTGCTTCTCCAGTAACGCATTCCCTTCTTATGACGTCATGAATGACTTTCCAATTAAGGATCAGCTTTTGGTTGTTACCAAGAACGAGTCTGATAGCAAAAGCTATCGAACATGAGTGGTTAGAGGAAACGAATATTCATCACTGGCGTTCGTTGAGGCACCATTTCTGGGGCACAAATATTTGTTCCGTTCGACGAAGGAAGCAAGCCAGAGTCCGCGCAACTCGCCGATCACAAGTAAACAGGAAACGACGAGTTTAATAATGAGTATCGACGAACTTTACACTCAAAGCACTGGCATACCATTTAAAAGAAGAAAAAAACTTAAGAAAGCTTAAAGTTACACATGTGAAAAGTGACGTGCAAAGAACCACTTAGAAAAGCACAAAACAGGCAGAACTTAGCACAGCGATCACCGGAACCAACGACAGACGAGGAGTCGTTTGTACGTACCTCGAGATCGAACACTACAGGACAGACAGACTGGCGGCGGACAGGCAAAACCACCGCGATATCTTGTGCCAGCACGCGAGGTAAACAATAATTTGCACGTGCCATTTTGACGCGACGACACCCGGTCGGCGCCAACCAATTATCGATGAAATACGACGTTGCCTCGATCGTTCCTCTGACGGACAACAACCAAGAGAATCAAAGATCATACATTCATTTAGTGTTTGATGACAGGCAGATGGAACAGTGAATGGCTAGCAGTGTTCTGGCACAGACAGTGGATACCATACTTACAGAGGACAGAGGAGATGAACAGCTATCAATAAGACAGCAAGAAAAAAGGAAAGAAGAAAGCGTCCGAAATACACAAAGGCAGTACAACGTGACCCAAAGCAACGTCATGCCGGTGACGGATATCCATCGACTAACCTGAAACAGTAACAGGTATCGACAACGGTCAATAGAAGACCGAATCCTACAAGTGTGATAGCCGGCAACACTTTACTGCATTCGCACAAAACGGTACCCTGTATCAGCAAGGGCCATCATCCACTGTACCCTGAAGCGATTACCCACTTTCGATTCGATTCGATTCGTTGAGGTTGTTGCCATCACTGGCTCACTTGGTTCTGGTGACATCGTAGTGGCCTTCCGCTTTCGCTTCTGCGCCCCTAGGTCGAGCGTCAGGTCGACAGCCATTTCGCTTTGCATCTTCGTACCCGTATGAACCGTTGCGTCCGAAATCTTCCAAGTTCAGACCTCACGATGTCCATCCAGTGTTCATCTAGCGACCATTCGGTTAGCATCAGCCATGGGCGTGCAATGTTTCAGATGCAATCGATTCGAGGGGTCGTCGAAAAACATCTTCAGGTCAGTATCTGAACAGAATGGTACAATCGGGAAGACAGCCATTACCGAACAATGGAAAGAGGGCAGAGATATCCAGATTTAGACATGGGGTCAAAGACACCGACGACAGCCGACAGTTTTTCGACACGTCGACATCCGTGAAATGTTTTCTTGAAGCTCTTTTGGCGAGTAGTCGTTAGACAGTTTATACACCGTAACAGCACAGCTATCAC